TCTCCCCCTAGGGCTGTGCTGTGGGGCCTGGACACCCCCAGGACCATCCCCTATTCCCCTCCAGGGCTATGCTGTGGGGCTGGGACACCCACGCCCCCCCGCAGGCTGTGCTGTGACCCCCTGGGAACCCCCCAGGCACCCCCATGCTTATACTATGGGGATGTGCCCCCCGGGAGCCCCCACCACTTAGAGGGGTGCTGTGGGGTCTGGACACCCTCCTGGATCCCCTCCTGTGGGGCTGGGGTCCCTGAGCCCTCCATGGCCGTGCTGCCCCACATCACTTATCCCCCTCTGTGTGCCCCAGGGGGTCCCCACTAGCCTGAGGGGGGGGGGTCCCTCTCTCTAACCCCCCCCAAGATCACCCCAGGGAGCCCAGCTGGGGTTTGCCCACCACCACAGGGAGCCCTCCCCACCCTCATTTGCTTGAAGCCCCCGGGGAGCCTTTCCCACCCTCGTTGGCTTGAAGCCCCCATTTCTCCCCTTCTCCTTTCAAAGGGGGAAGGGGGGGTCTCTCATCATCCTGTGCTCTGAGCCCCAGTCCCCTCATCTCCAACCCCCCCCAAGATCACCCCAGGGAGCCCAGCTGGGGTTTGCCCACCACCACAGGGAGCCCTCCCCACCCTCATTTGCTTGAAGCCCCCATTTTTCCCCTTCTCCTTTCAAAGGGGGAAGGGGGGGGTCTCTCATCATCCTGTGCTCTGAGCCCCAGTCCCCCCATCTCCCCAGGCTTTGGGGTGGGGGGGTTCAGCGCCAGCGGGGCCAGCCCCTGCCTCAAAGGGTGCCCAAATGGTTGCAGATGCCTAAATTGTAGAGATATTAAAAATAACCTGTAGTGTCAGCTCTTATAAGGCAAAACGCGTCCTTTGGCTGCGGTTTTGAGGGGCCGAGGTTCTTGGGAGACTTTGGCTGCTTTCCCTGGGTTTCTCCTCTGTGGGATTAACCTCCTTGCTCTGAAACTTGGGGTCCTTTGGGCAGGGAGGTGGCCAGGAAGGGCCTCTTGGACCTGGCTGGTGTGAAAATGAGTGTGGGGGGGCTCTGACCATCATGGGGGAGCGGCGACGGGTGCTGCTTTACCTTGGCCAGGGTGGAATCTTTGGGACTGGGGGGGTTTCCTGACCTCCCATTTCCTGGCCAAGCCGAAGTGAAGCTGTTTGGTGATGGGGCTGGGTGTTTTGAGGAATCAAAAGTGAAATGGGACTGAAAAAAAAAAAAAAAAAAAAAAAAAGTCTTTCTCCTTTCTCTCCCTCCCTGTCATCTCCCTTGTCTCTCGTGTGTCTCCGGAAGGGTTTGGATGACCATATTCCTGGGATATAGGGTGGATCTCATCGACAGTCGCCGTTCCTGTAGGGATTTATTGCTTGGGCACCGAGGAAGTAAATATTCTGCTTTCTGTGCGTTAAAGCTGTCCTGGTATCCGACCCAACAGGGCCGCGCTCGCACTTTACTCACTCTTTAAACAAAACAAAAAAAACCAACATAAACCCCACGAGATTGGGCGTGATTTACAGCAGGTAACACTGACGTCAGGCTCACTTTTTAATGAGGCCAAACGTAAGTGTGTGGCACCACCGATGCCCCTGTGGTTGCCTGACAGTCCTTTGCAGCTGGTCTTTGGGGCAGGTTTTATATCCTCCTTTCGAGAGCGTGAGGGTTTTGTGTTTGCCTTTTGGCCCTTTTTTTATTTTTAAGAGAAAAATCTCCCTGTCACCTGCAGCTGGATGTGAGGGGTCTCAAGCTGCTGCCAAAGAAGCCTTATCTCTCCGATTCGGAAATGGCATCTCGTGATTTAAGGCGACGCTGCCCTGTTCTCATAAATCCCTTGAAATTATCCTGTTTTCTGCCAGGATTGGGGTCCCTGTGCTGGCTGGGGGGGTGCAGGGAGGTTTGCTCCCCCCAGGCAGGTGCTTACACCCCCTTCCCCAGGCTCTGGAGATGTTGGTGAAAACCTCAAAGCGTCTCTGCCCTCCCGGCCTCGTGGACCTGACGAGTATCTCTGGGGCTGTCTTTCCTCGCCCCCCATCCCCCTGTAGCACAAATACTGCCACAGCTGGGAATCTGCTCCTTTTCAGGAGACTTTCTTCATGAAATGCTATAAGCTCTGTTTAAAATGAGCTGGTTTGCTCCTGTTAAAATGTATCTCCAGCTCGTCTTCCTTGCAGTTTAATCTAGCTGGTTAATGAGGGATGATTAACCGCTGTCGTTTACTCAGTAACACGCTGCGAGGGGTGGCTGACTCCAAAACTTTGATGCAAGTTTGGGACGGGGCTGGAGGTTTCCATCCCCTTTAGAGAAAGGGATGCTAAAATCCATGGAGAGAAATCTCAACGTGTCTTCCCGGCAGTGGCAGCGCCCTGAGGTCCTGCCCTGGTGGCAGAGAGGAGGACTGGTGACGTTTTGGGGCAGTTCCCGTCACATTTAGACAACTGTGTTAAGTTCCAGGTGGTTCTACTCTTGAGTTGTCTTGTTTTGACCCCATCTAGAGGCATCTCATTTTGTTTCTTTAACCCGTGAGAACAGAAAAAATGGAAGAATATAATTTCTTGCACAAACCCATTGTATGAAAATCTTGGAGCAGCTCAGTCAGCTGGCGCAGCGCAGCAGAGGCTTCATATTTGTGTTAAATGCTGTGTTTGAAAACTGTTTGAATCACAGAATCGCAGCATGATGAATGATACGGGGTTGGAAGGGACCTCTGGAGATCATCTAGTCCAACCCCCTGCCAAAGCAGGGCCACCCAGAGCAGGTCCCACAGGAACGTGTCCAGGTGGGATTTAAACATCTCCAGAGAAGGAGACTCCACCACCTCCCTGGGCAGCCTCTGCCAGGGCTCTGCCACCCTCACAGCAAAGAAGTTCCTCCTCATCTTGAGATGGAACTTTTTATCTTCAAGTTTGTACCCATTTCCTCTTGTCCTGTCACTGGGCACCACTGAAAGAAGCCTGGCCCCATCCTCCTGACACCCACCCTTGAAGTATTTAGAGGTGTTGATCAGATCCCCCCTCGGCCTCCTCTTCTCCA